AAAGCCCGGCCGAGCCGCTGGCGCCTTTCCCCCTTGGGTTCAGCGAGCTCTGGGCGACGTTTTGAGGCACCCAGACGCACCGCCGTTAAAGCGCGCTCTCGTGTCTTTTCCACTCGGTTGCTTTGCCTGTGTGTTACCTTCCTTCTGTCTCTCCTTGTCCACCAGATTATCAGAGCGAGTATTACGGCCCTGGAAGCAATTACGATTTCTTCCCGCAAGGACCTCCTTCATCTCAAGCTCAGACACCCGTGGATCTCCCTTTCGTGCCCTCCTCGGGGCCGTCAGGCACTCCCCTGGGGGCCATGGATCACCCCCTGCCCGGACATCACCCCTCCAGTGAGGCTCAGCGCTTCACTGACATCATGTCGCACCCCCCAGGAGACTCGCCCAGCCCTGAACCCAACCTGCCCGGGTCCTTGCACTCCATGTCCGCAGAAGTTTTTGGCCCCAGTCCTCCATTTTCTTCGATATCCGTCAACGGTGGTGCTAACTATGGCAATCACTTGTCACATCCACCAGAAATGAATGAAGCAGCTGTGTGGTAGCTTTAAAACGAACTGGGTCTAAGTAAGTGATGATCATCTAGTCTGCTTATTGTTACGGTGTACAGAAATGAATAAATAGAACATCTCTCCTGCCCTAAGACAATATTTCCTTGGGAACGAACTGAATCCAAATCGCTCCAAGGCAAGCTTTGCTCTAGACCAGGACAATCGTCATGTTATGGTTGTATCAGACAAGCAAGGGGACTTTTTTGTACCATTGACAAAGAAACTGGTGAAGCTGTACAGTAAAGTGCTGCCATACCGTAGGATGGCGTAAGTTTGATTACCCTGTCGGATGTCATCCTAAGAGCCACAATCCTTAGAAACTTCTCACTTAAAAAAAATTAATAATTGAATGAAGGAAAGGTCAAAGAAAAGGGGGAAAAAAGCTTCAAGAACTCTAGCGTTCCCGGTTAAGGATGGTTCTGGCATTATGAATCTGTTTATTAATTTTTGTCTCTCAGAAAGTTCAACAACAAGAAACTCTTTCTAGCTTCAGCCATTTCAGCCTGCTGACTATCAGGTGGGACAACTTTCTTTTTCCTTTGTTTTTGTTTTGTTTTCCAAAATAACACGTACTAAATGTTAAGCCCTCAGCACCAACTCTTCTACCTTCACAAAGCTACACGTACAAAACCTCCTCATCATAGCAAAGGTCACCGCCCAGACCTCTAACGAAAATGACTTGAAACAAACAAACAAACAAAAAGTATTCTACCTTCACAGAGAGAGAAAAGCTAAACAAAAAGACTCTATTGAACTAAAAACAGTCAACTGTTTACGTCTAATGTTAAATTCAGGAGTTCAATGTTTTACTAATAAATCCTGTTTTAGAACCTCTTGTTCAAAAGCAAAATATTTTGAGCAACCAACCAAAACAGTTCGTTTTCTTTTCTGTAGATGTTATAACAGATTGCAGGGCTTGTGGTTCACTGTGCTAGTTTGTAAAAGGTGTTGTTTACAGAAGGCAAAGAAAAAAACCCCACGAAACCCAGACAGTTGCCAAATAAAGTAAATATATAGCACAAATACTGTAAGGTGCTTTGCACCAGCAACCCGAGAAGGTGTTTAAAAAGTGTTACAAGGTTAAAAAAAAAAACAAGCATCTTTGCTAATTTTTAGTCCTGTTGAACATTCATGGAATTGTTAATATGACTTATATAGACCCACACAGGTTTTATTTTTGTGTCTTTAAAATAAAAGTCCAAAATATTTAAATTTTATGGTCAAATATGCAGTCAACAGCTGCTACTTTTTTCTTTATATATTAAATTTCTCATATGTCTTTTATTGTTCTAATAAACCTAAGCTTGTGTGACCTCCAGTGCATATTAGACCATTCACTGTATGAAAGAAAACATGTTGGATAAAATTTGTGCGTTTTTAATAAAATTAGAAAACCTGATGTTTAGATAACTGGTGTTTCATTTGATGTTTTAAGCAATTTTAAATGGATTCTCTTGAGGAAAATAGCCCCGAGAAAGAGCGATGCACTCTGCTGATAATCCTGTATAGCTCTTTGGCTTTGGTAGAAGTCTAAACCCTGGTGTCGATGCAGATAGCAGTCAGCGGCAGCTCCAGCCCGTCTTTCCATCTGCAGCCTCAGCCGTTGAAGTACAAACAACACCTTACGCTGCACGTTAAATTTCAGAATTGGAAACTGAGCAAATTGTGGAATATATTAACCTATTCTGGGTCTATGCTAAGAGAAAACATATTCAAAATGCTTATTTTATGCATAAACAAAAATGTATTGTAAATGTAAAAAACTTGCAAAGATATGGGTTTTAATGGATCCATTTTTAGTTCAATTAATTCTCCAAAGGTAATTTTTTTTCCCTAATTGGATGGGTTTGAGCACAGCATAACCTCAATGTCACGAGAGTAATTTTAATCCTTTTTTAGAGCTGATACAAAGTCAATTGTTTAATAGCGGTTGGTATATATGGAGTTCTCTGAAGGGCAGCGGGGGAGAGTACTTTGCTTTGCACTAGATACGTACTAATTCTCTTGGAGAAAAATGAAGCAAAACAAAAAATTCATGGAAGCTTGTGAAATGACGGATTTAATGTTTTAATTACAAATGATTGCAGAACCCCAAATATTCGGTTCTTCAAAAGCAAAAGTCCCACCGATTCCGAGAGGACTTTGACCTGTGTTAGAAGCAAAGAATTAGGTTCGGTTCTGAAAAGTCACTGGTTTAAATGTTTTCCACCTGCTGAGCTAATCGAACGGGATGAACTATAACTGCATATTTTCTTTCGTCTCTCAACTAATCGTGACTCTGGCTGGCTTCTTTTTTATTTTACCTAGACACAGAAATTTACGCTAAAATACAGACTTCTACATTCCCAGCGATTCAATTATTTCTCTCTTTGGACTGAGGGGGAAAAAAAAATCAAAATGCTTTAAAGTTGTACGATTTGTAATCTTCAAAGGTGATTTTTTAGTTTGTTCACCACCTAGTTTCTACGCCCAGCAGAGGGGCCACCTAGATGAAGCAATAGTTCACTTTAAACACAAAATGTCTTATATAATAATATAAAGATAAAAACTATCTGCAAGGGGTCTGTTAGTGTTTCTAAAAAAAATCACGCTTTATTAAATACAGGGGAGACTTCTTAAACTCACGGACTCCGTGTCTAACTCATTTATTTACCTTTTGTATTGTCGCCATGTTTTGTTGCTCTGTTTTGCGTTTATATAAGCAAAGTAATGGGTGATCTATTTATTACAAACTTTTACTTATCTGGGCAAGTGCTATTGATAAATACCGCTGTTGGCGCTTCTGGTCTCTGCTGCTGTTTTATTGTTGAATCAATTCTTTTAAATGAGAATTTTACCAAATAGGCTTATTTTGTAGAAAACGTGTCTGCCAAGTGGTTTTTCTTTTTTTTTTTTTTTTTTTTTTTTTTTTTTTTTGTAACGAGGTACTCGTACAGTTTATTCTGTGTTAATTTAGGCAGCGATGTGATACGGTTCAGTTTAGGTCAGTGGCTTATAAAAGGGAGGGAGGAGAGCCTGTATTTTTTTCGAAGCTCTCATCCCTTCCGTAGGGGTTTTGCCCATCTTCGGGGGGGAGCCCAGGAGCCGTTCCCATGCTTAAGGCTGAGCGTGTCCTTCAGTGCTTCCCGGGATCCGCTCTGGAGGCCCCAGCACTTTGCAGATTTGAATTCTGTGCTCTTCAGAGCGAGCTTGGTGTTTCTGAAGACCCTAATCCAGCAACAATTGCACAGTCAAAACTCCTTTTGAAATCATTGTCACGTTGGGTTCTTGTAAGTCCTTGTTTACAAGAGCATTTCCATTGACTTCAGTAGCGTTACTTGGGTGAATAGAGGTCTGCAGGAGAAGGGCCTCGAAAATATGGGCTGCCTGGATGGATTTTACATGTGTGTGTTAATTTTTTACCTGCAGAAACACGGACGTGACACGTATGCAACTGTACGTATGTGCAATGTGATTTCAAAAGCGTTTTTAGAAGTAATGACTCTCTTTTGATCTTTCCTTCCTTGACTGCTGCTGGTTTCGGTGACCTTCACCTTGTTGCTATGTCCCAGCAGAAGGTGCAGCCCGGTGATGTTAAACCCCGCACAGGCCCGCGTCTGCTCACCCAGTTTTGGATGGCACCCGTGGCGTTAGCCAGGGAGAGCGGTACGCGCCCCCCCGGCACGGACGAGGGAGGCTCGGTGTTTAAATGCGCGAGACTGAAGACTTGTGCAAACCCCGTGCGTAAGACCATTTACCGTTTACTAGGAAAAAGGTGCAAGGCAAATATTGTAAGTATTATTCATATTGAGCTAATCTGTACGAAGGAGATATTTTGAAGGCTAATCAAAGTGTCTTTAAAATGCCCTGAGTTTCCAGCATCCAAACAACGCTGCTTTTGGCCCAAACTGACTGCGCGCCGTGTCCCACCGCGCTGTCACTGCGTGATGCTCCTCTCTGCCCGTTCCCTTCGTCCTCAGTCACCGCTGGTATCTGTTTACTCAGGCCTTTGCTTGGGGAACGGCCGGGGATTCGTGAAGATCTGTATCCCAGGAGTAAGAATGTACTTATATTACGATTTGTAGCCAAATGATGTATATTATTTTAATACGTGTATGTGTACCCAGATGCTGAGCGATGGGTACACGATACAAATCTATAAATAAATATAATTTAAAAATATCGGTGGTGATTTACATACTTTTGCCATCCTAGGAAGTGGCAGATACGGCAGTGTCCTCTCAGGAACGATTCCTTTTGCCATGGTCCGGATTTGTTGCCTGAACAGGAGTGCTGTATTTAAGCTTTGCATGTTCTTACGATAGTAAATACAAGCATTTGCAGGCTCCCTTTCTGTTACTACCCCTAGTAGATAAATTCACATATATTAAGATTAAACAGTTGATACATATCCTCAAATGCTGCCGACGCTGTTGTGCTGGGAACAGGGAATTGTGATGCTGGAGCAGGTTCTGGAAGGTCTTTTCTTTGTGTCTGCCACGGCGCTGGGGTGCTCAGCGTTCCTCACGCCAACAGAATACCCATGAAGTTCTAAATGAAATTAGTGGGACCATTAAAAATACACTTTGATTATAAATCCTTCTGGGATTGCTGTCTTCTGTTTCCTTTTCAATAGTATTTGTGGTGCTTTTAGCTATAGAGCGTGGGGTCACGCTTAGACAGCGGCGTTTGTTGTTGTCTGGAGGGTTTTTCATTCATTAAATGCCAAATTGTAATGCGGAAATTGAAGAGTAAACGTGGCCTTACAGTGAGCTGACCTTCAGATTGCTAAACCTCTGTACTCGGGATTACTGTAACGGGAACGGTGAGGGTACCTGCAGGGCGACTGCTCTTCCTGCAGTGTTTTCACCATTTGTGCGTGGGATCGCTCAATGTGATGCACGTAGCTGGTTTTATTGTGCGTATCACGGTCCAGTTCTCGGAGAATCCCCTTGGCCCTCTACGTAACGCCCCTGGGGACGAGGGGCACAACTGGTCTCTCTTAAGTCTTCTGTTACAGGCTGTCTTCAAATTCAGGAATAGCCCTGCTTTGATGACATTTGGTGCGCTGTTTAGAGAGCGTTTTTGGCCACTGTAAGAATTAGATTTTTTTTTTCCTGATTGGTTTTAATACAAGCTTGCTTCCTGCAGAATCTGAACCTTTAAGGAGGCTGACGGTATCCCACGTGGTCTGGAATGAAATACTTAGCTCTGCTAATCGAGGAAGCCCGAGTTTGCAGGACAGGTCTAGTGTGGTCTTGTTGAAAGAGACCTCTACGGCGTGAGAATCGTCATGCGGCACAGGCTGTAAATGTGAGCTGGAAAATACCTCCCCCC